GCTTAGTCCTTTCATGCTGAATGAAACAGCACTGAACTCCCTAAATTTCTCTGACAGCTCAGCAGATTGGCATAGGCTGCCTACTTTTTCCCGTCTGTTACTGACTGTTTCCATGAGGAATAGCAGTATCTATGAACTGCTACAGGTGGGCAGAAATGCTTCCAACCAGTCTGAGTGGGGGCATTTCTCGCGGCTGTGGCACGCCACTGGCGACATGTTGACCACCAAATGGAACCTAACAGAAGTGGGTGAATATGTGAAACTCCTGGAAATTATGAAGAAAGCTCTAGTTCTTGTGGACTTTGGGGTAGATCCTGGAAAAGCATTAGTACATCAGATCTTTCATAATTCTAGTGGAGGAATTAAATCTTCAGATCAGAATTATTTGTATCATTCATTAACACTCTTTTTAAATTCAACTTCTGCCACAAACAGCACACTGGACTTGGAAAGAATATTTCAAGAAATGATTCCACTGTATGAAGTTGGTGGTGAAGGATTGTTCTACCCTAATCCCTATGGAAAAGAAAATCAAGATCTTGTAACTATGGCTGCAGTGATTTGGAATCAGATAATTTTAAATAGGACTCATTTTAATACAGACAAAGCATGGGAGGTTATCAAAATGATTGCACGTCATGCAATCTCTCTTGAAGACACTGAAAATTATCTCAGCACAAATGAAGAAGTGTCATCATTATTTTCTGACTTCTTGTTGACCCCTGTAACTTCTGAAAATTTTGCAGAACAGATCTCATCCCTTGAGCAGCTTCTTGCTGCCGTAGCAAAGGTGAATACCCGTGATCGTTATCTGCTGATATCTTCTTTGTCTAAGCTAATGCAGAAACTCCAGCGTACCCCAGATGGAAGGCAGAGAATTGAACTTCGTGCTTTCTGGCAGATTGCTGAAGCACTGCAGTCCATGAACTGGAGTAGTAAAGACAGTCTCACTTCCCAGTCACTTCTAGATGTACTGCAAAATCAGTTCAGTACCATGAAAAATGACTCCAGTCTTCCTTTCAGTGAGGAACTGAGGCAGCTGGTAAACTTTGCATCTTCCATATATGAGTTATATGGTGAAGAAGACTCCAGAGCAACCAACATCTCCATATACTCACAAGCCATGCAAAGGAGTATCTTAATTTTAAAAGGTTTGCAGAAAAACTATAACATCAGTGAGCTTGAAATTATCAACCTTTTGTTTGATTCTTACAGTAATTATACCCAGAGACTGATTGAAATATGGAGAGAAGGAATGAAAGTCCTTCATGACACCAACTTAAACAAAACATTTGAAGAAAAAATGGACATTATCTATCACTTCTCACATTTGCTGCTGCAGAAGGAGTCCAGTGAGTCTTCCTTATGGCACAATACTT